TTTATTTACAATTTTAAACAAATTTATGGTTAAAGCTAATTTAATTTTGATTTACTCTTCACATTTATTATTGATATTATTCACGTTGGTTTCAATTTAAAATTTTACGCTTGGTCATTCATTTTAATTTCTAAATAGTTTCGCCAAAAACTTAAAAATTATTAAAAAAATATAACATGTTTAAGTTATGACCGCTTTCGACCCGCGAATATTGGGTCCTACTATAAACCCGCCATGGATCTGCCTGCATGTCCTAAACCCGTCGAAAAGCCACAAATTTGATTCTTTTAAATCAAGAACCGTTGGTTGACGGACGAATGCGGGTTTTGTTAGAATCCGCGGATTTATGACCAACGCACACCCTTAGTTTGCATTCACTATATGGAGTAAATGAAGTAACTCAATGTTGTTGTGTTGATTCATTGTGTTAGTACACTTTGGCCTGGTTTAGTTGAGGGGATTAGTCGTTATTAATTAAATATTATATTCTCATGGCTTATTTTGCTTTTTAGTTAGTTTTTTTGTTGCACATAATATAATAAAATATTTGAATTTTCATTAGATTATTTAATCTTATATTGACTAATCTTATTTCGACAACTAATTGAGACCTTTGTGTATTGAACATGATTAATTTGAGATAGTTTTATTCACGTTGGTTTAATTAGTGCAAAAACTTGCATTGGCCTCTCTCGGAGTAAAGTGAAAAAGTCGCATAGTAAACCGGAAAACGTCATTCAAACTCAAAATTTGGTCAAACCGAAGATTTAAAACCTTGTTGATATCTAAAATCGATTTAACAGTTATGTATTCTCAATTTCGGTAATCAATCCCTTAATCGACTATGCCTTAAGTTGATAATCGATTAATACACCTGACAGAAAAAAAAAAAAGGTAAAAAAAAAAAGATTATATAAAATTATATAAAAAAGGAAATTATTATTATTACATTATTATTATTATTATTATTATTATTATTATTATTATTATTATTATTATTATTATTATTATTATTATTATTATTATTATTATTATTATTATTATTATTATTATTATTATTATTATTATTATTATTATTATTATTATTTTAGAGTTTAAAAACAGAAAATTAATTTAATAAATAAAAAGAAAGGAGAAATGAGTATGGGAGAAGGAGGATAATATAGTGGAAGGGCAAATTTCGGAATTAGACAGAAGGTGAAAAGAGTGTAGATTTATTTCAAATTATGCAAAATAGTTTGGGACTTTCCTATTAATGAAAATATTGAGGGGTTCTCTCAAAGAACCTCTAAAAAATCTATAAATTTATGCGTATTTATCTTTGAATCACAGGACTTGGATCCAAACAATGTGTCATATATATAGAGGACAAGGGCAACCTCTGCTATGATGGTATGATATATATTGATAGTGGTGTGAACGGGTCATAAACCCGTGGGTTCTAGCAAAATCCGCCCTCGTCCTGTTGACAGATGGTTCTTAATTTTAAGGAACCAAACTTCTTGGTTTTCGACTGGTTTAGGATAGGCGGGTCCATGGTGGGTTTATAGTACGACCCAACCTTCACAGGTCAACCCCTAACAATTTAAACATGTTATTTTTTGTAATAATTTTTAAGTTTAACGCGAAACTATGTAGAAATTAAAATGAATGATCAAACGTAAAATCTTAAATTGAAACCAACATGAATAACATCAATGATAAATGTCAAGATTAATCAAAATTAATACGATTTAACCATAAATTCATTAAAAATAGTAAATAAATTGAAAGCTTTATAAGACAAAATTTAAAATAAAAATAGATAATTATAGATAAAACGATGCGATATCGTCGTTATAGATATAATGTTGACATGTAAGATATACTTTATTCATGTATTATATATTATTAATTTATTATACTACATAATATAACAAAAATCGTTTTGTATGGCAGGGCATGGCGGGATTCACGGGTATCAAAAAATGTTGAACCCGTTTTAGACCCAAATTCGCGGATCTTCTTCATTTCAGGATCCAATCCTATTGATTGATCTATTCGTCCGGTCCTAGCGGAACGGTTTTTACCGAGTTTGACGGGTTCAACAGGTTCATTGATTCGAACTGCTCACCTCTATTTATTGAAAAACAACTTATCATGGTTGTTCCGCAACAGAGATGCATAGATGCGACTAGGGGTGTAAGTTGGAACTGAAAAAATTCCAATTTTCATCGATTTTGATATGAAAATTTTCGATTTTGGAACAACTTTTTTCAATCCAACTTCCGAAATTTGATTTGTAAATTTTTCCGATATTTTTGTATTGGAATTGGAATTATATAAAAAAAAACAATTTCCTATTTCCTATTCGATTTAATTTTCGAAATTAATTCCGAAAATTTCTGTTTTTTTTCTCAAAATATACACTTATAAATAATATACATTATATAATACTTGATTCAATGTTTTTTTTTTTTTTTTCCCGAAACAGTAATTTGATTTAAGTTTTGTTATAGGATTTGACATATTTAGCATTGACAACATGAAAGTTGGAAGACCAAATCCATCAATAAAATTCAAGTCAACATTCTTCAAAATATAGCATTTGATCCGAGATTAAGTCGGGAGACTCTAGAGAGTTGTTATTGAAGAAAGTAATCAAATCCGGAGAATATAAATTGTTCTTGAGAGAAGAATCAAATTATTAAATTATAGATTGTAAATCACGATATTTAACTTGATTCTATAATTCATATTTATGCAAGTTTTTCTTATTTATTAGATTCGTAGATAAGAAAATTTTGTTGCTATAAAGTATAAACATACCGTATGTTCACGTCCAATTTCAACCATTTTTCAAAAGTCCATCAATTTACTGTCATATTTTGTTAATATACTCAATTTTTCATAAGTTTACTTTCAACTTTGAAAATTTACTAATATTTTCAAAAGTTCACTATCATAACATTGCTTTCAAACAACTATTATGATATTAAAAAGGTTGTGGCTATATACAATATTAATTACACTAGTGCAAGACTAAATTAGAGAAAGATTCCAAAAGAATCTATTTTATTAAAATGAAATGACAAATGTACCAATAAATTAAATTGACTTTTGTTTGCTAATGCAAGACCAAATAACAAATAATGCCAAAAAAAAAAGACATAAAATTAAAACGTACAAGAGAAAACCCAGCCCCCCTGTGAAACCCTTCCCGTCGCCACAGCAACGCTGCCCAAGCTTCGCCACCGCAAGCTCCTCGCCAACCGCCGCCGCCAGCCCCGCCGCTCACAATCATGAGCGACCAAAACCCGCCCAACTATGCTTCAAAAATGCTAATTCTCATTTTGTTCAACTTTAAAAGAAAGAGGAAAAAAAATTAAATTTGAAATTTGTAAAAATCTACATCAAGGTGTCGAAAAACTATACTAGAAATCGACACTTACGCGTCGAAAAAAAAGACCCAAAAATTCGACATCAACGATATGTCGAATTTGATAGGTAAAAATTGACACCTGAGATGTCGAGTTTATAGCAGAAAAGTCGACATTGTGAAATGTCGAATTTGCTACTACAAAATCGACATCTCAGTGTCAATTTTTACCTATCAAATTCAACATGTACATGTCGACCGCATCTGTGCCGGATTTTTTTTCGGAAAAACGATATTCTAGCTAAATACACCTTCTTGGGTTCTTCCACCGTAAAATCTTCTATTTTGATGTGTTCCGACTCCATATTTGCTATCTTTGTAAGATTTGTTGAGTTTTGATGATTTTGAATGTTTAGGTTTTGTGGGTTTATAGAGCAGGAAGGAGAAAATTTTTGTGGGTTTTGGAAGATGGAGAAGATGAGAGTTGATCTTGTGGTTTTGTCATAGGTTATTTTGTGGTTTTGAGTGTTTGGTATTGAACATTTGGATTTTTCTACTTTTTTTAACAAGCAAGGGTATTATAGTATTTATACATTTTATATTTTTTAATTTGGTCTTGCACGAATGAAATTAATATTGCATATAGCCACGGCCTATTAAAAAATGTGTGCAAAAATGTAAATTACAGAAGTACTAAATTATTTCAAATTCACTGTGTGACTTCAAATTAGCTTGGCCGACTTCAGTAACGACATTACAATGAAATGTAATATAATCTTAAGCAGGTTTTACATGCTAATGAAATAAATCGGGTGATCTTAAATTATTAACAAAAATACTCATGTATATACGAGTGCTTAATGAATGATTATTTATATAGATCTATAATTCAAATCTACACTGTAAATTATACTAGATATAGCATCTCATGAACAATGATAAGCATGCTTGAAAGATAGTAACAAACTTTTAGTACATCAAAATTTGAGGGGTTAACTTTTACCCAAGCTAAAAACATATGTTTTTTTTTTTCGTTTGTGCTAACTTAAGCTTATTTTCAATATAAATCTATAACTCCTAAATCATATTTAACAAGTGTAAATTACATCTACCTCTGAGGTAATGTTAAATTACGAAATCTCTCCTTTTGTTTGGGTAATTACAATCATCCCCTCAACTATGAATTTTCTTACTGTGTTAAATTTAGTGGAATCTTCTAGATTATATGGAATATTCTCAAATTTGTACCTGTTTTATCTCATTCGAGCTCCAAATTTTGAAGCTAGATGATCATAAGATGTGTTTTTTCGGCTTGTAAATATCAGATTGTGGTGCATCAGAAACTGTATTTTTGCACAAAACGAGTACAAATTAGAGAACATTGCACATAATCTAGAAGATTATGTTAAATTTGACATGTAAGAAAATTCATAGACGAGGACGTAGCTGTAATTCACCAAGCAGGAGGGGATTTTCGTAATTCGATCTTACATCGTGGTTGTAATTTAGCATTATTTAACAATGAAGGCAACATTTTCTATTAGAAAGAAATGCATGGTAATTACTCTTTTTTTTTTTAAAGGAAATTACTACCTTATGTAAGAGAAAAATAAATAAATTAAATTAAATTGACCCCTCACCCCAACACACACACACACACACAGTCCCCCAAAAACACTCTATAAATAGGCAAGCAGCTCTTGAGCCCCATGCCTTCTTATATACCTGAGCTACCTTCCACAACTCTCCAGCTCATCTCACAATTAATAAACCTTCTCTAAAATCTCTCCTTCCATCACACAAATCTCTCTCCCATTCTCTCTTATCCCACATCCAAAAACAAAAACAAAAAAATTAAATTCATTTCTTTTCTTTTTTATAAAGAAATCATAATTAATTATTATGGTGGTTCTCTCAAAACCATCTCCAATGGAACAGTTCACCACCACCGCCACCACCACCACTAGCACGACATTATTCCCATTGATCGACCTCTCGGAACCACCCGAGTCGTCGAAGACGAAGCTAGTCGCCGCCTGCGAAGAATTCGGATTCTTTAAAGTAATCAACCACGGCGTCCCGATTGAACTAATGGCGGAATTGGAATACGAAGCTCTTAAATTCTTCTCTTTGCCCCTCTCGGCTAAGGCGAAAGCCGGCCCGCCCGACCCGTTTGGCTACGGCAACAACAAAATCGGCCGCAAGGGTGATGTCGGCTTGGTCGAGTATTTGCTCTTGACCACCGATACCCAATCCGATTACCAAAAGTTCGCCTCCATTTTCGGGGAAGCCGCCGAGAAATTCCGGTTAGTTTTTTTTTTTTTTTTTTCATATTACAGTTAAACCTCTATAAATTAATACACTCGGGACTAGCGTAATTCTATTAATTTAGCGAATTATTAAATTATCGAGCGAGTTAATAATTGAACACATTTTCACCGAATCGGGGACAGAGAAAAACTATTATTTAATTGAGGTTATTAATTTATCAACTATTAATTTATCGAGATTCTGCTGTATATATATTTTTTTTGGGTAGATGCGTGGTGAATGAATACGTGGCGGCGGTGAAGAAAATGGCGTGCGAGGTTCTAGAAATGGTGGCCGACGGGCTGAAGATTCAGGCGAGGGATGTGTTGAGTAAGATGCTGATGGATGAGGAGAGTGATTCTGTTTTCCGGCTGAATTACTACCCATCGTGCTCGCCGGAGTTTCAAGATTCCGGCGGCCGAAATCTGATCGGATTCGGGGAGCACACAGACCCGCAGATAATTTCAGTGCTTAGATCAAACGATACTTCGGGGCTTGAAATATATTTGAAAGATGGGAATTGGATTTCGGTGCCGCCGGATCAGTATTCTTTCTTTGTTAATGTTGGCGACTCGTTGCAGGTAACCACCGCTTTCCTTTCTTTCTTTCCCGCCGTCAATTTATTATTATTTAATTTTTATTTTTATTATATTATTTTTATTTATTTATTATTATTATTATTATTTTATTTTTCTTTTGTGGGATTGCATTAGTTGAAATGTGAGGATTTACATGAAGGGTTTTTTATCTTTATATTTTTATATAAATTTTTTTAGAAAAAAACTAATTCTTATAGAAAAATAGTTTTGCAATTAAGGCTTTTTAACAATTTTGCTCCTTAATTTCAAGAAAAATTAAAAAATAATTCTTATATGTGGAAACTCGAATATTTTTTCTCTATTTTTATTAAATATTTTTCTTTGAATTCATTGTTTTTTAGTACCCTTGTATCATATAAAATTACTTAAAACGACTCCCCATATTATTAATATTACAAACTCCTATAATTCATTTTTAGTACACAACTCCTAAATATTAAAATTTTATAGAGTAGATTGCTAAAAATATTATGATATTAGGGTGATGCTACGATAATTTGATTATTCTAGATT